AAAAAAAAAAAAAAAGTTTTAAATGTTGAAAACAATGAGACATATTTCCTACTGTGTCAATGATTAAAAAAATCAAAACCAACAAAATAGTACAAATTTTTTCCACAACTTCATACACACTTATTGTCTACATCTAATTCCCAACCTGTATTACAGCTATCTTTCTAAATGCTTCAATTTTCTGCTTTTACAAATTTCCAGTATTACCTAAATAATTATTTGGGTTACTACACATTTAAAACTTTAAATAAAAATTTTTTTTCTTCTGATAAACATCTATTTCAAGTGCGGATGATGGAAACCCATGTAAAGAAAAACACTGACTTAACTATCAAAATTATCAAAGGTTTAATTCATACCTCTCAGGAGTCTGAATATTATCCAGATCTTCTATATCTAATACCATCTGTTGGGATTCTTCTTTAGCAGCTTCAGTTTTTTCCTCTGCCAGTTTCAAATATGCCCTAACAACATCCTCTAAAGATTTAATGTTCACCTAAGCAGGAGGGGAAGAAAAAGAATTTAAACCACTTTTTCCCAAATGTTTAGAGTAAATTATGATAGAAAATATATCTAAAAGGTAAACTCTTCTGCAAATTACTAAAAGCACTTTTAAAATATAAAACTGAATTCTGTCTGTACCTGCTGACAAATGTTCTTATACTGATATAATCCTTCCTTAGCCAAGTGGCTCTTACGAAGATCCACGCAAAGTTCCAAGTATTTCAACATAATCGGCTCGTGTATCTTTTGCCATGTTCTATGTTTCTTACTTTTCATAACATCATAAAGAACATCCAGAGCAGGCTGCTTTTTGCCAACCTCAAGAAATTCTGAAAAAAAAAATAATAATAATAATTCAGGAGAATTAGTCAGTTACATATACAAAAGTCTAAATCTTACATTTTTAACTGGTTGCTGTAACTTCTCATTACAGACTTTTTAAATCACATGTATTTTTGACATCTAAAAAAGCTATGCCATAATTATCTAAGAGAACAATTAAAAGTCTGGTACTATGTCAAAATAGTGTACAGGTAAAACAGCTTCAGCCAATTCCACCATGACTTAAAAGTTCCAGAAATTGAAACAATGAGAAAAAGAAAATTTCTATCAACTTAGAAAAGATCAACTTCAAAGTCACTTTCAACTAGCTGGTGAAATTTTTGCTCATTTACACTAACACTTGAGGCAGAAAAACATATCAGATTGCCTTTAAAACTTAAAATCAGTTGACAACACTGAAATTTTCAGGGTCTATTTCTAGGCTTTTTGTTCCATTCATTCTCTATTAATTAATGTGCCTACTCTTTAGTCAATACCACACTATCTTGATTACTGTAGTCTTTAGATAAGGTCTTGAATTCAAGTAGAGTGTGCCATCTTTGTCCTTTAGTTTTGTGCAGACTAAACTAGGTCCTTTGCCTTTCCATACAAATTTTACAACTAGTTGGTATCATCTTCAAAATAACTTGCCAGGATTTTTTATTTTTTTTTAAAGAGAGAGGGAGAGAGTGGATTTTTTTTTTAATATTCATTTTTTAGTTTTCGGCAGACACAACATCTTGGTTTGTATGTGGTGCTGAGGATCGAACCCGGACCGCACGCATGCCAGGCCAGCGCGCTACCGCTTGAGCCACATCCCCAGCCCCAACTTGCCAGGATTTTGACTGCAATTTCACTCAATCTATAAATGGGAGTTTAAAGAACCAATAATACTGAGTCTCAGAATCTGTGAACATGGTCTGTTTTTCCATTTATTTACCCCAGTCTAAACATGAAAAGTATTAAGACAAATTATAACTATAGTATGC